GCTATGGATGTCGTCTACGCATTGAAACGCCAAGGCCGCACATTGTATGGTTTCGGAGGTTAAGCTCATCCCGTTCACACAACAAAAATTACAACAAAATCGGCCCTTTTCAGGGCCACCAATTCATTTTTATGAAGAACTTTGAAAAAATTCAAAAATTAGTTGCATTTGGTTTTAATAAAAAAAAAGAATAATATCGGAAAATTCGAATCCAAGTAGTCTTCGAATTTGATTGAAGTAAAGTCATTAGCAATAGTATTGAGCATTTTTGGTTCAACTGAATTGAAGATGGTTGCTGGGCAAAAATAAGACGAAGAATATTCAGTAATTTTTCATGAAAATAGCAGTCATGGGAGTATTTATATAAATTTATATGCGCTTCTTTAGAAATTGATGTTTTCAACAACTTATTTGACAACAGCTGTGTTTTTGTTTTTGTAGGGAGAAAAAATGCTCCAAAACTGAGTATAAATTGTAGTAACCCAGAATTAATTGTAGTGGCCTAAAAATAATTGTAGAAGCACATACGGAGCAACAGCATTCCTGTATACACCGGCTCTTATAGGGTACAATTACCGTGTAGCCGAACGATCTGTTTATCGCTTTACTTGGTCATATGACCTGTAATCAGTTCAATGTTTACCGTTTTTTTCGCCTTTTTTCCGCGCTACCATTTTAGTTTGTTTTCGTCGACATCGTTCGGTTGTGTGATTCAACCGCTTTGGCTGCGTATGTAGTTGATTTTTGATTGAATTCCCTTTTTTTTGCCCGACAGAAACACAAACCATCCAAAAATATCATAACAACATGTAAATTTCCGCAAAGCCACTGATATCTGCCCTGAGTAATACAAAGCAGGGAAAAACAGTCTACATACGTCAAAATTAACAAATTTTTTGAGACGACACGGGCCGAATCTTATCAACTTATGTGATATGGGCTATTATCAGTTTAGATGAACATTTTGCGATAGATTAGGTGAAGCGGTTGAATCACACACGTCGTTCGCTCGACAAAAACATTCAACTATAAACAAAAAGTGTGTTCGGGTCATTAATTGAGACAAGTGCGCGCGCTCGAATAAATTTAGTGCAATATTCAGATCAAGGTTTTGGTGTTGAGTTCACATTCAATCTGTGCTATGTACTACACATCGAATATATTAAATTGCAATATAGAGTTATCTCTGTCTATATTTGACAAAAATAAACAAACGCCAAGTTGTTGTTTGTAGCTTGAACCTTATGCTAGAAAAGATCTGATTAGAGATAAAAACTAAATTCTAGCTCAAATAAATACATTTTTTGGATCAGAATCGTTCTATCTTTCTGGAGTGTGTCCTTCGCCAGCTGAATGGAAATTTTAGTACATAAGCACATTTTTTGTATCGGATCACCAAGTCAGAAAGCATCTAGCAAACAAACGTGGCATATATGTTTTTATAATTCTGTGATAAATATTTAAATTTTATGTTGAATCAATTAAGTTGAAAATATTGCTCTTTAATGGTGATAAATTATTCTAGCTATAAATAATAAGGAAGATAAATCACAGAAGAAAAACACTTTGACAAAGTACACCAATACTAAATCATTTTTTATAAAGGAGGATCTTGTGAATTTACTGTGTGTGCAAGACTGATAAGTGATTATCATTATTGATAAATGTTATACTCTGTTTATCTATTACATAAATTGCACCGTTGCGTCCACACAACAGTGAATATACGATAAAAAAAAATTTTACCAAATAAATTGCACATGAAGGAGTCAACAAGTACGAACACATTTAGAAAATATCATTGTCAACAGTTCAAACCCAACCTCCATTCGAATCTGGAGTTTCTGTCAGAAAAATGGAAAAGAAATCGTTTGAAGGTGAGTTTTTTTTTTCAAAATCAAAGCATGCAGTTTTGTGTTTCATATCAAAGTTCACATATTTCTATGTAGTTTTTGCTTGTATTGGTATCATAAAAAAGTTCCCATCGTTTTTAAAGATTGTGTAGATGAGTTTTCAAAGTTTTTTTTTCTAGTTTTTTTTCTATGTCTAAGATTTAGTAAAAATACAACGCATTAATATTTATTTTTTAACATATGTTTACTTTTCTTAGCAATTCCTATCTTAGACAATAAAAAGTGTCAGCCAGATTATGGTGCTACAGTAGCTGCCAATTCTTATTTGGTAAAGTATTTTAAATCGATTGCAACGGCGCATCCGACTTTAATGATAAAATAAAAATTTACTTTCGTTAGTCAAAAAATCGGGTCAGAGGCAGCCGGTTGACATATCCAAAGGCCGTAATATTTGTGT